GAAACAGCAGCAGAAGCCAACGGTACTTAAGGAGCAGAGTTTGGATGCTGCAAAGGATGGAACGGGGCCCCAGAGAGTGTCTGCATCTGTGTCTAATACCCCTCGTACCGCATGTCAAGGCAGTGAGCACTGCGGCCTCACCGAGGCTCTCATAAAACACACATGGGCGTTTCTAGCTTATTCCGCACAATTAGACTCTGGTTCCAGAACAAACGACCCTCTATGGACGTCTCAGACGGTGCGGAGGACATGACGCAGCCTTGGGGAGTTTCTGCAAGGATAAGCGAGAATCGAAGCGGCATGTCTATTTCTGGAGAAGTGTCGGTGCCCCCCACACGACGCCATCACTAACGCCGTCACCTGGAGGGGGACGGTGGGCCTGCCTGTCACCTCCAGTCCATCCACAGTGGAGCCTGACTTGAGCAGGGGGGTGGCATCTTAGCACAGATCATCCGTCCATCAGGTTTGACCATCAAAGGGAGAGAACTGAGCATTTAGGGGATTGTTGTACCTCTGTTGTAAGACATCACTAAACAAATGAACTTTTAATCAGCATTAATAAAAGATTATTCAATTAGTGTGTTAATGATTTTGATTAAGGCAGAGCAGACGGGAGAACCTTACTGAGGTACGGTCCTCAGCCCAGTTGGCTTTGAAACACATCACAGTAAATAGCTCTGGGTCAAGATGGGTATAACATGCCTTCTTTCATTCAGTTATCCAGCCTCATCGTGACGCCGTGGTTATTTATACCTCGGCTGCCTTCATGGACCTCACACGGTGGAGGCAAGCTGCCCAGTATCAGATGGCTCTTCATCAGATTAATCCTCAATCACCATTAGTCTCAATCCTCCTCACCTGCCGGTTTCTCCATTAGGCTCCATAACGGGGCTCTAATTGTGCAGAACAACATGGGATCACTTCAGACTCAGCATGCTCATCACAAACCTCGTGAAGGTCCTTCAGAATAACACAGGATCACTTCAAGTTTAATACAAACCTCACTGAGGTCCTTCAATATTACATGGAATCATTTCAGGCTCTGTGTATTCATTGCAAACCTCACTGAGGTCCTTCATTATTACATGGAATCATTTCAGGCTCTGTGTATTCATTGCAAACCTCACTGAGGTCCTTCACCGAGCTGAAGGTGCAGGACTTGCTGACATCAGGAGTGAGGAGAGGGAGCTTTACACACTTGTGCATGTCTCCATACATACTGCATACTTCATGTTCATTCTTGATAAGCCGCACTTGTGCAGAGGGCAGTATCAGTGAACTCCGGGTTCACCCTAAGCCTAGATAACAGTAGACTGTAGTTTAGATGTGTCACTGACCAGCACAAAGCCATTCGCTCTCCTAATCTGCCTGCCTTCCATTCTCAGTCAGCCAATGGACATTCCAGGGTGAAATGCGCATGGGGACTTAATTTCAGATAATGCCCCACCCTGACCTCCACGGTGTCCCCTTCTTTGGTCTGCGTCCACCTGAACAGTGCCGAAAATTGTGTCATCTGAATTTCCACTGCGGGTGAAGTTAGAAATGGTGTCTCTGGCCATTCCTTTCCTGTGGCAGTCCATTACACGACAAGCACAACAAATATAACTACTGCAAAGAAAGCCATTGCATAGCCTCCCAGGCGACATTGTGAAAACACTGCAGGATTTCCCTGGATTCATATTCCAGACAGGTGCCCTGAATTCCAGCGGGCTTCTTTGTTCCTTTAGCTCTTTTTAGAGGGGAAGTGAAAAATCGTAATGTGAAATTTCCAGGACCGTAAAAGGGAAACGATTAGCTGGAACTCCCAGGAAAAACGCTGTATGTAATAATGGGCCCTTTCTGGCTTTTCAATTAAAATGGTAATTAATTATAAAGGCAGTTCTGCTTTTTTCACAGTACAGGGCAGCAAGCACCCAGCTTGATTCGGCAGGGCAGCATGTTCCGTTGCACCCAGATAATTGCAGCCCGTGACCAAACCGAATAGGGGAGGAAGCGCGGATCGAACGTCTTGCATTGATTAAGGGTTTTGTGGGGGAAGAAATCCAAGGGTGTTGTTCCTTTGGTCCTGACTAAAAGCTGCGAGGCTCCTCAGGATGTGGACAGACGCCACGCAGGGATGGAGAAAGTAGGGAAAGTGTGGAGGTGAGGATCTGCGTCGTGCCTTAACGCTCCTCCGCGTCCGTCTCTGGTGGCCAACATCCCATAAGCGGTTTCAGTCTGTGTTCTGCGCTGGTTCCGCTTGTTCTGGATCATGTTTAACTATCATCTTCAGAGATCCACTCAGCTCAGTTTTATGCAGAAAATAATACTGTAACTGAGAATAATTAAATGGCAAAAAGCTGTAAAATCAATAAGTCTCATAAAAGCTTATATCATATTTAGCTCAGATCCCCAAAGAGAGAAGAGCCAAGGAGGAAAATCTAACCCCTGATAACCTAGCACAGCTACTGCCCAGTTTAGACTTTTTGATGATAACCTGGAAATATAAACTTAAATAAAAAAACGAGGTTGATCATCGATAACTGAACTTACGTGGTTAAAACAGAAAACATCAAATCAAACAAATATTCAGCATGGTTATATACAGAAAACTTCTCTTAGGAGCTAGAAGGTAGTCCTACTGCTATATTTGCTGAGAATTGGAATCATTTGAAGATATTATTTTGTGAATGAAAAGGATGAGATGTCAGCAGTGTGGTGGGAGGCAGAGTCTGGCCCTTAACTGCGGCAGCAGTAGCAGTGCCTGGGTCTCGCTGACGGCAGCGTACCGCAGCACCCTGGGGGTCCGGCCTGCCTGCCGGGGCGGCTGCACCAATCACCGCTTTCATTTCCGTTATTTAAAGGCCCTCGTCTGGGAGCGCAGCAGAGGGCCGCCTCACAGTAATTACTGCCTACACGTCTCCCCACGCCCGGGTTCAGAGGAGCCCATGCTCACCAAAAGCTTTTATTCCAGCAGAAAACGGTCAGGCATCGTGTGACAAACACACAGGTTTGAGCATGTCATGTCGGAAACTTCCAGAATGGCACTCAAAACATTCCCTTTTAGTAAAGTGGTGGCGGGCAAACAGTCACTCCCTCAAAGTGGGCTGTCAGAGATAATTCCGGAACTAATCCCTCTCCGTCGCTCCCCTCTGACGGACCTGCAATGAAGAACGAAGCCTTCACCGTGACCTAAAACGATTTCCGCCTCCCATGTTGGGCTCATACTGCCACGTCCCCACTCCACCCCTGCCTCCCCCAGCTCCTGACCTCAGCCCCAGGCAAACTGCTGTCAGCGTTTGGTAGATATGGGTCACAGGACCAGCTGTTCTGTTATCATAAATAATAAGGACGTTAACCCATAAATATGTGTTTGTGGATGAGGAAATGGTCACTCGTTCAATACCTCCCTCCCTCATTCCTCCACCCTTCCTCCCTCTGTCCTCTCGTCCTTAAAGCCAGGGACCTCTGCATCGTGGGCCTACACTAGCCACACACATCCGATTCGCGGGAAAGGACAGCCTTGTCTTCGCTTTTAACCAGGTTCAGGACATAAACAAAGGGGGGGGGGCTTCCTTTCAGCCTTTCAAACAACAACAAAGACACATCAAAATGAGAGAGCGAGAGAGAGAGGATGAACTGCCATGGTCGGAGAGCACACAGTAAATTTCCCCTGGAGGTTCTTTGTTTATAATTATTTTCTGAGAGATGAAAAAGAAAGTACAAAATTCTGGTGGCTGAGGGGTGGCTAGGATTAGGAGGATACCCGTAACAATGGGCAGGTAGGGTTGGGTGGGTACTCACAGATAATGGCCGTGCCCTTGGGGATGGGCAGGCAGGGTTATGGTTAGGTGGGTACTCACAGATATTGCCCGTGCCCTTGGGGATGGGCAGGTAGGGTTAGGGTTGGGTGGGTACTCACAGATATTGGCCGTGCCCTTGGGGATGGGCAGGTAGGGTTTGTCAGGGTCAGCCCCTGTTGTCACTCTGTGTCCCTTCCCCGTTTGGCCAGCAGGCATTGCTGGTCATCCCGTCCTTCATGTTTGTCTTTGAGTTTCCCCTGTTCTGTTGGCCTCATGGCTCAACACCTTGAGCGTCCGGTTGTCTTTGTACCTTCTGTCCTGTGTTTGAATCCCACCTCCTGTTTTTGTATTTTGCTCCCTAGTGTTTCAGTTGAGTTTGTCTAGTTATTGTATTTGGTGATTTTGTATATGATTTTTGGTTTTGTTCCTTGTGCCCCTGCTTGTCTTTACCTGTCTGTAATTCCCCAGTGTTCTGATTCCTTGGTTAGTTCTTAGTTTCCCTGTTTAGTTCCTTTGAGTATTAGTTTCACCTGTACTCTGTTTCCCTGGTCTTTCTTAATTAGCCTCACCTGTCCTGTGTTAGTCTCATTACCCTTTAGTATTTTAGTTCCTGCTTCTGTTCAGTTCCCCAGTGGTTCATTGTGTGTGTGCGCGCTGTTGTAGATTGTGTTTCATAGTTGATGTTAGATGTGTATCCGGTTTTTGTTATTTAGTTTTTGTTAATCCCTTTTTAGTTTTTGACCCTCGTGGTCTTTTTGGTTTTGTTGTGTTTGTACTGTTTTCTGTTTTATTTAATAAACCCCCTTCTGTTCCTGGAGCCGCCAGTGGGTCGTCCGCCCTTTTTTGTGCCTGCACCATGCCACGTTCGCGTGCCCGAGCCGCCCGAAACCATGACGGAATGAACCACTCCCAAGGACGATCCCCAGGCTCCACAACACCCCTCATGCTGGGATATGTGTCCCTAGCACCAGCTACTGGGCCTGCAGTGCTCAAGTTGGAGCACTCACCCCCTGGACCGGTTCCTGATCCTGATGCACCCCGACTTGGCGACGTCTGTTCCCAGAGTGCCTACTTTCGCCAGCTGATAGATTGGTACTCACAGATATTGGCCGTGCCCTTGGGGATGGGCAGGCAGGGTTATGGTTAGGTGGGTACTCACAGATATTGGCCGTGCCCTTGGGGATGGGCAGGCAGGGTTAGGGTTAGGTGGGTACTCACAGATATTGGCCGTGCCCTTGGGGATGGGCAGGTAGGAGCCAGGGCTCCACACGCGCCCCTGGTAGCTCCTCTTGCAGCGGCCGCAGTCGGGGCCCGTTGTGTTGTGCTCACACTCACAGACTAACTTCTCTTTGTCGAAGACGCAGCTGTTGGCATGAAGGTTGCACTTGCACCTGTTGGGGAAAAAGCGGCAATGTGAAAATTCCTGCAGTTATGGGAGGAGAGAAAAAAAAGATCTGGAAAGAGAAAGCCCATCAAGGCTGGCGTGACCTTCACTGCATCCACATCTCAGCGCAACAGAAATCTGCATGTGATGCATCGCTGCTCCCCAAAGATGACTGGAAAACACGAAATAATGTCCAGAAATATTCTGACGGGCTATTTAGAATTTACTGAAGGATAAAATGCTGGTAACTGTTCAGTGGGAATGCAGGAACGTCACGCCTGGTATACGAGGAAAAATGAAGCAGACAGCAGATTTTTAAAAGAAAGAACAATCTTCTCAGGACAGATACAGAGTCTCTTATAACAGTTACAGTATTTACAGTAAAACATTCTGAAAACCCTGCTTTACTTGTGAGAAAGATCTTAAAAGGCGAAATGCTGCGTAAGCAACGACATCAGAAACTGCAGTGAAATATTAAAAATGTCAAGTGGGGCAATCAGCCATCCATATAAGTAGTAATTCATTCCTTAAATGGAAATACTACGTTAGATAATGTATTCCAATGAATGTAAGATAACTCTGAAGCCCTAGCCCATGTTTTTTTGAATTTCTGTATGTTTAATGTCTCTGGAGTATAAATGCAAATCCGCGTGTCTGAAATGGAAAACACGGTGCAGAGGAGCCTTCATTTCAGTACTCAGATTTTGTGCATATAAAACGCCACCGTTGGCTGCAATTATGTGCTAGCTACATGGCTGGGGGGCGGGTGAGTAACCATACTCCCCTTGTGGGAATTTACGGACAGCACGGTATCAATCCAGGCCGGCTGTTTACAGAGCACTCTGACCAGACTGGGTCTCGGATCACTGGACCCACCGCGACAAGGCGCCGTGAACATGAGACAGACATATTACACAAATACTTGCTGATAAATTCATTTTAATGAACTGTCTGCCATTTGCGGCATCGTTCATGCATTAATAATTATAACCCTATAATTCTGTTATTTTTTTCTTTCTTGAAGAGAAAACTAATCTAGAGCATCGATTGGTAAAATGAAAATCGATGTTTTCAGTTCCGTAGATGTTTTCAATGAGAAAAGTCTGGCTTCCTCTCTACATACAGTAACAGTGTTGGCACCCTAAAGGCTGACAGAGACTGTTACAGGATCACAGACAGCTGAGAGGCAGTGGTCAGAGGCAAGAATGCTGCAGGATCACAGACAGCTGAGAGGCAGCAGTAAGAGGCAAGAATGTTGCAGGATCACAAACTGCTCAGAGGCAGCGGTCAGAGGCAAGAATGATGGAGGATCACAAACTGCTGAGAGGCAGCAGTCAGAGGCAAAAATGCAGCAGGATCAATCAGAGGCGGAGATGCTGTAGGATCACAGACAGCCGAGAGGCAGTGGTTAGATGTGGAGACGCTGCAGGGTCACAGAGAACCAAGAGGCAGTTATCAGAGGTAGAGACCGTTGCAGGGTCACAGACAGCCAAGAGGCAGCAGTCAGAGGTGAAGATGCTACAGGGTCACAGACTACCAAGAGGCAGTGGTCAGAGGCAAAAATGTTGCAGGATCACAGAGAACCGAGAGGCAGTTATCAGAGGCGGAGACCATTGCAGAAACACAGACAGCAGAGAGGGAGCTGGGAAGGAGTGGTCAGGGGCGGAGAACACAGCAGGAGCACAGACAAACAACAGGCAGCAGTCAGAAGAGTCTGTCCCAGTCATGGCCTGTTATCACTGACAAACGTCTCCATTTAGGAGCAACACTACCGACCCATTTGCCTTTGATCCGGCGCCTGGCTCGTCCAGAATGTGTTTGGCAGTCATTGCGGCCGTAAATCGACAGCACAAAACATTTCATTTCTGCTGTGTGAGTACAATTTACACAGCTGGAGAAGGGCTCCATTTCCTGGCCTATTACTGGGATGCCTCAAAGGACATGTGTGTCAGAAGAGGGGCATAAGTGCACAAATATACACCATTCGCTGACAAATGACTGTGACAACCCTCCAGGTTAACACCGCTGGCATGAATCATTATTCTCTGGAGAGGCTGATTTTGCATGTCATCATTACAGGGGCTACTGAAAGGGGACAGTGAGGTGGCTTGCAGCCTACCCTTACGGCACTTTGGGGGGGGGGGCCGCTATACTGAACCAGCACAGCACACTCCAGTGAAAAGTCACATTAAACCTTTAAATACTTAAACCCCCAGTAGTACAGCGGCAAATTTGAACTTAGTGTCATTTGACGAGCAGTTCATCAGCTAGAGCGCACATCTATGAGCAATATTTTGTAAATATCTGTATTCTGTATTGTTACCAGTTCATGTTTATTAGGCCTACATGCCCTTTTTTACTCAGATACATGGACCAGAACTCATCGGACACATAAACGCTCTTGATGGGAAACTGCATAAGCTATTAATATTGTGTTCTGTGTGAATGTAAAATGCAGCAGCTGATATGTTTTTCAATACCGGCTCTAGCCCACGTGGCGCCCTAAGCGAGCATCATTGCTGGTGCCCCTCATCTGAGGCAAAGTGATACTGGCTGGCATGTCGGCACCCCCTCAGAAGTTGGTGCCCTGGGTGACTGCCTATGTCACCTATAGGATTGATTGGCCTTAGTGTTTATACACTGGTTTCATTCTGACAGTTGAATGATCTCTCCTCCTCTCATACTGGATCTAAAAACTGAACATTTACACTTCATTAGGTTTCATATTTTTGCTCAAGATTAATCTAAACATCATTTTTTAAATTTTAATGCAATCAATCAAAGTATTAGAAACAACATGAAAAGATTGTTCTTATACCCTAACAAACATAACGAGGGTAGATGTGCGACTGAAAATGGATCAATAAAAACATTTTTCCAACTTACAGACACTAGCAACTTTGAAGAGAAAGTGCTTGTGAATCGGCAGAGTGATAAAGCCAATACGGAGGTTAGAGAGGAGATTGGGGAGCTGCTGGATAGGTGTTGGATGTGGGGTCACTGTACAGAGGATGTGAGGTTACATAGCAGAGAGCGAGATGCTGGGGGGATGGGAGCTGGATGCGGGGTCACTGTACAGAGGATGTGAGGTTACATAGTGAAGAGCGAGGTGCCGGGGGGATGGGAGCTGGATGTGGGGTCACTGTACAGAGGATGTGAGGTTACATAGCAGAGAGCGAGATGCTGGGGGGATGGGAGCTGGATGCGGGGTCACTGTACAGGGGATGTGAGGTTCCTGCTTCTGCGCAGAAGCTGGACAAATAGCATCTACTGAAATGTACGGAAGAGGATTAGGGCCACCATGAAAATATTATTTGAATTCTGACTTTAATGTCAGAATTCTGACTTTTTTTCTAAACTCTGAGAAATGGAATTCTGAGAAAAAAAATCAGAATTCTGACATTAAAGTCAGAATTCTGAGAAAAAAGTTTTAGAGCAGGATTAAGGACCCTATATAACATTAGGAGGGAATCTTTTGTTTCTGCTGGAAATGCTTGAAACTTTCAGCATTTTTGAAGATCGAACTTGAACATGCAGCTATGAATGAAAAACATCCTGGTGCTCTATAAATATTTATCCTCAACCTGCCAATCCTCTCTTCCAACACAGCCTGCAATAAACCTGCTTATTCATTCCCTCCCTCAGTTGGTGAGAGGTTGTGACCTCCTCAGTAACGGCATTCTGATTGGTCATGTGGGGTCACAGTGCATGCTGGGAGTTGTGCTCCCTGCGTTTTTCTGTAGCACTCCCATGCTCGTTACAGGGCTGTTAGAGCAGCTGTCCATGACAAGTGTTCCCACATGATCTGTGAAGTATTTCTCAGGTACAGAAATAAATCAGCTTTCAGCTGATTGTGATCGTAACCAAATATAAGATGGATCCAAGGAGAGAATCTCTGAGCTGCTCAGTAACTCTGCACAAAATTTCTTAATTTCTCATTTAGCTATTATTTCAATTATTTGTCAAATCAATATTTACAGTTATAAATTCTACATATATGCCCACACCATATCATTAATGGCCCATGTCAGAACTGAAATATTACCATCATAATTAAAGCTGGCAGCCTTTGTTCTGATCATAGTATAGAAGATCTGGTCACATTGCTCAGTGGCTGTTCGTGCTGTGAGAAGCGTCTTCCTAACCTATAACACATGTCTGTGCTTTATAACAAATGCTACAGCGTTGATGGGTAACATTTATGCAACTTCTTATCAAGAACATTTCTCGCATTCACACACTATTCATACCTGAATAAACATCTTCATCCCATTAAATTCTTATCGATGTGTCTTTATGTCTGTGTGTGAATCGCAGTAACAACACATACAAGCACCCAAATTGAGATTTGCAATTAATTGTAATAAAATGTGTGTGTTAAATAACAAGCCAGTGAAGTGAGTTACACAAATACAGAAGAAATGTTACATAGCAAAACGTTCATATTAAATTCCGAGTAAAAGGATCTTTAATGTTGAATAGCATCGCTTATTCTCATATTACTGTGAGGACGCTTCAGCTGGGAGAGCAGTAAAAACCTGCATGTCCCTCTAGTGCGTTTTCCTTACCAGACGGTCAAAGGATTTGTTCTGTTACTTGTGCTGCAGCCGTTCTAAATTTTTATCATACAGGCTTCCTCAATACATACATACCGGCTTCCTTGTTAGAGTTATATGTCGGTTTACAGAAAAAAATGAAAAAGTTTCTTTTGTCTAGCAAGCCAGAATAATGCATTAATGTATATTACTCCAAAAGACGGGTTAGAAAATAATTTCACATTTTCATAAAGGAACCTGTGACATGCAACCATTGAAATACAGACAGAAATCCAGCTATTCTTCTTGTAATTACAACATTTGGTAATAGTTTACAATACGACTACCATTATAAATGGTTTATGAATGGTTTATAAACAGCTTATTAATTAGGTTGTAATAATTACATTAATAAACAATTACAAAACAATTACAACAGTTCTACATACCCAACGTTTTAACAAAAGGCAAT